GAGATCTTATCAAATGACCTTGGTTTGCAGACCCAGCTATATGTGCCAAAATTTGATGGTGACCATGCGCCAACTTAATTCTCAGGTTTTGCTGTGTACGTCAGCTGAAATTGTTGCCAGCATGTCACACCATGCGGAATGGTTGACGTGACATGGCCCAAGTTCTTATTAAGGGTTTAGATTGCTGTGTGAAGCTGGTCATAAGCAGTTTGGTGATCTGGAAGAGCTGCTCTCCTGCAACAAGGGTTGCATTCAGGTTTGGTATTTGCCTGTTGCTGAGTAATATCTTTGGTGACCAACCAGCCTGCAAAACATGGCAAATCTTGACAAAGTCTGGTAAGATGGTTGGGGCAAGAATTAAGATTTGGAGAGGGCTGTGGGAGATGTGGAGCAGGATTTTTTTCAATTCAGCTTGCTGACATTAGTTTGAGGGCATTGAACTGGCATTCCACCACTTCCACAGAATAGGTAAACCAGCCACAAACAATTGCACATCAGATAGGCCAGTTTTGTATGGCAGGTGCAAAGCTGTGAGGTAATATCAGACATGGCTATTTTTCTTTTTCTTAAGTTTGGTGGTACTGGCTGGCCTTAATTACCCTTACATTCCATTGAACTAATACATGACTTGTAATGGGCAGTAGAAAAAGGTGACTCTAGATAGCAGGCAGCACAGATGTAATGATGGGGCTGTATGTCAACACTGGATACAGCAATCTTAGTGAGATCTCTGGACCAGAATCTTGCTCATATGCTTTCTGTTTTAGGACAAAACTGTGGTGTATTGGTGCCTGTTTTTGGTTAGATGCAGTAATTGGCTGAAATGCTTTTTAGCAGGTCAGGAATTCGTTGATATTTCATAGCATGCATCTATAGATGTTTTGCAGGCCTGCAATGCTTAGATTATATCAGATTTTCCATGCCAGTCATCTGTTATACATTCTGGTTGAACTGATCTAGCAGGTTTGGTATTCTGTGTACTTATTTTGTATGTGGTGAAAGGTAGTCATTATTTTTGTCTTAGCAATCAATGATAATTATTTTTTGTTCTCACCAGTATTTTCAACCAAAGTTGTGACCACCTGGAGCCTGGTATCCTTCTTCAAATGTTTGCCAGATGTGTTTTTGGCACCAACTTTCCCTTTTGAATTAATGGCCACCCTGAAGGAGTGATTGTTGGCAATACATATTGACAGTGACTTGAAATGCAGCGCTGGGTTTCAGGTGCACACAACCTGCCACAAATTGAATTGATGGCCCCCTGGTTTTTGTTAGGATTGGGTCTTCCCCAGCTGCTCAGGGACATCTCCTCTATCATGGCCCACACTAGATCATTGTTTCACTTCATTATAAAATCCATGGCCCCAATAGTTGATATGTCTTAAAACACTGGAAGCAATGTAAGTGCTACTTCTAAGAATGTTAAAATCATGCTGCATGACCACAGGCTTCATCAGCCCCCAGTCTAAGGCACTGGTAAGTTTGCAAGGTATTCAGTGTTGCTCTAGAATGAAAATAAGAAATTGTGGCAAGATGGCAACCTTTTCTCATGCTTCCAAAGCTTCAGCTGGAATTCAGGAAATTATTTTAATCATCTGCACAGATGTGAAGGAACTAAACTTTTAGCTGGCAATGTGTCTGGGCCTGCATTTTTAACTGTTGTGTTTGAGAGACATATTCTGTCTGTTTTCAGCACTCTGTCACCATGTCGGTGTTCTACAAGTTTGCCTCGTCCACCGAGGTGAACACAGTGGTGTTTGATGGCGTGCACATCTCGGTGGCCGACCTCAAGCAGGCCATCATGGACCAGAAGAAGCTGGGCCGTGGCACAGACTTTGACCTGATTGTCACCAACTCTCAGACCAGCGAAGGTCAGTTCCCGCTGTTTGGTGGTGTCTGCGTGGGTGATGCTGTTCTGGCCCCCAGGCTCAGTTCTCAGGCCCGCTGAGGGCTAGCCGGGAGTGGGCCGCCCGGCACTTTGTTGTGGTGCATGCAGTCTGCAGCTCAAGCATGTGACTGTATGGCAGGGGACAGCAACAGAAAGGCTCACCAGTTTTGTCTGAACTGAAAAGCTTTCTAGGATGGATCCTTTGTGTGTCCCTGTTCATGTAGGTTATCATTCCAATGAACAAGACATTGAATACCCTGTCAATGGGATTCAAGTCAAAAGTTTTGCCAGAGCTAAAGGGACTCACATTGAGCAGTGACCCAGGCCATGTGTGACCTATGCACATGTGTATGAAGGGTCATCCCATCGTTTTGCTGTCAATTCATAGTGAGAGTTAGATGGTCCAACTTGGTTGGTATGCTAGTTTTCTTGACAGTCCTTCTGAATAGCTCAGAATTTGTATGCAAAGTAGGCACCTGATCAGAGAAATCTTGTTGGAACCCCAATATGCCACTAGTAAATTAGTTCTTTCCCTTTGTTTGGCTGTAATGTTCTCAAAAACACTGGATTGTTCAAAATTACTTGTTCAAGAAATGGTATGAGAGTCAAACCTTCCATTGAGGGAAAAAGATATACATGGATTTTCATCTTATGTCATTGGTTACCTATCATATCATTGACTACCTTTACCATTATCACACAAATTTTGGCTACCTTTACCATTATCACACAAATTCATTGAAAGGTTACACTACATTTTCTGTTTTTTTCCCCAAGGCTTTTGGCATGGAGACTTTTTCAACTGGTACTTTGGCTTCAGGAAACATTGTGCACATAAATGCTGATTTAGTCTGAGCTTGTGTTTACCAATCAGTTACATACCAGCAGAATATGACATGGGTTAATGACACACATGTTCCAATTTTTCACCAATGCATGTCTGCCAATGCTTGCACTGAGTGCCGTACCAATTACACACATTCGCTTCCACAAACCATACACAAATGTGATGTGTGCCTACCTCTCTAATCTTGGTGGCTTGGAAGTACCACTTACTGTGGACAAAGATATTTTGCCCCACATTGCCTCAAAGTAGTCCCATCATGAGCAGACCAGCTTTGACTGGCATTAAATGATAGCAAAAATATTGAGCTATGCCTGAGATGGTGGAAACAGAAGTGGGCCTATAAAGGTAGTTTTGCATGGGGAAATTCATAAACCACAAATCCTGGGGGGGGGGGGGGGGGCAGGGTGTGAAGTCTCACCAGCTAGATCAGGTGAATGGGCACCATATGACCAACACAGTTGGTGCACCCCAAAGCCCAAATCATCACCAGCTAGATCAGGTGGGGATGCGTTTTCCATGCTTTCCCAATCCCACTGGTGATTGCACCTATGACAACTACAAAGAGGTATTGGAATTTGAGGAGGAGGAGGAAACAGGCAAGTGCAGCATGTCCATCCATGAAAAAACTCCCAGAAAGTTATTTTGGAAGCAAAAATGGGAGTATTGCCAACATTTTTGAACATCATACAGTGTAACATATTAAAAGATAGAATAAAGAAGTTTGAACAAACTATGTATGAACACAGAAAAAAAATAATGGATCATGTTCTAGCATGCCTTTGTTCACTTCCAGCCCATAAATAGACCGATTCTTTTATTAAAAGAGTGCATTGTTTTATCTTAAATGATGCAGCATATAATTTTTATACAGGGATGGAATGCTTGTGTGCTGTAAAGCATAAACCAACTTCATAAGCATAAAGCGACTTCATGAAGCGATTTAATGATGCAGCATCTACCCTTTTATACAGGGATGCAATGCTTGTGTGCTTCTGTAAAGCATAAAGCAACTTCATTTTAGTGGAACTTGATGAAGCTTTAACCTCTTAATTCCCAATCTCATTGCCCCTTACTGAAGTTAAGAGATTATCATCCTGCAAAATGTGTGGCCCAATGAGCTATGTTGGCATACTGCACTGGCAGAATCTGGTGGGTATAACAATATGGCTGCACTCAAGCCAGCAAGCCACCTTTGCTATGGAGAAAACATAGCACAAAGGTGTTTTGGATTCCTACACTGTACGCAGTGTGCTCTGTTCTTCGTGATTACAGATGAACCTGTCCAGATTTTCACTGGCAGAGTGTAACAAAAACAGAGGAGTATATGTGCATGGTACTGATTACAGAAGAAGGGTGCAAAAGCATCACATTCCCATCCTCACTCATGACGTGAAGGAAGGTAATGAAAGGAATGAGCATGCTGATACCAAATGACAACTTACGATTGCTGTCTTTGACTGGATGTTTCAGCACAGCTGCAGGCATTTTTGCTGTAGCTGTTGTGTAATTTTTACTTTTGGCCAGCTTTTTGGTAAAAAGAGCACCAATATTTACTTTGAAAGATGCAACAGCCACAAATTATCTTGTAAACTACCCAGAGCACGTTGAGCAGGACATCGTGAACATTTTCCCAACCTTCCTTTGCATTTCCACATCTCCACACCACTGCCCCCAAGTCGCTGAAAATCATCCAGCATAATTTGTGGCCCAAGGAACCATGCTATTGCAGTAAATGATGTGTTCGTGAATAAACCATACTAAGGTGTGAAACAAAATGAATACAATAGCAACAATAGTGCATGTTCCGAATCCAGCCAACCATTTGTCAGGTCTGTAATTATTGCAACAGCACAACACAATAGTGTTTTGAATTCCTACACTTCTCTCATGTGTGCTGCTCTCTATTGTGTCAGCTTAGCCTGTCCTTTTTCTTCTTTTTTTTTGCTAGCAAAGCTTAAACAAAATAATACATGGTTTTCTTTTCACTGCCTGTATGCTATGGATGGCTCACGTCTATGCCAAATGAGAACCTCTGATTGTGGCTTTTGGCCAGGTGTTTCAACATGGGGTGTAGATGTTGTTGGGATGTAAGTATGCAGTATTGCTATTGACTGGCTTCTATGTTATATGAGCACATTGCTAACTGAAAAAAATAAACCATCCGATTTTTTCAGTGAAATTTGGCCATTGCATGTTGAGCATATTGTATCAGCAAAGTGCCGTAGTAATCGTCCAGCATAGTTCACGATCCAGTGGGCCCAGCATACTTCGTACTTTACTAGCAAAACGAAATTGATAAATAACTATAAGCACATTTACCCAGCTGGGCAAACGTGGTGCGTTAAAGTGACAGCACAGCATCATGGTTTTTTGAATTCTTACCATTGCGCCAGGGCAGTGTTTGTTGTTTGTTGCAATATCAGGTGCCTGTCCAGTTTTTGTTTAGTTCTTGTTTTTTTTCAGAATTGGACAGAAACACAGGAAAGATCAAGGGACGCAACGTTTTATTGCTACCAATGAGACATAAGCGACAACACAACATATCCTTCATTCACTGCCTGGATGCTGGCAATGGTCCATATTGATATGAAATCAAAACTCCTGAATGTGCAGATGGTTTAGTTAGCGTGCAAATGATGTTCTTCTGTAAATATAATGGCGGTTGGGGGATCGTGGGGATTTTTGTCACCTTAATAGTTTCAGAATTTACGTACTAGGCACGAATTCGGCAAGGGCCCAGAATGGTCGTGGGCTGGCACACAGATGTCATCTTGCGTGCGCCAGTACCCTCCTGCGACGGGATGGCATGTGAGGGTGCTAAGAGATGAGTGTTTGGTTTCCCGGAAGATTAACCGTATATTTTGGGCTCAAAAGTAGGTAAAATGATCCCTTATATTATCCTGTTGGTGATACAGTTGCATTCCTTGGTGGTTTTTGATATTCATGACGGACTCTTAGGGTTCACTAGACCAGTGTCTCTGAAATTTGTTCCAAGGTGGGACACTCCCTTTGATCTCGCATCTGCGCACAAGTTTCGACAGTAAGGTAAGGCTCCAAACCTCGGCTGCCTTACGTCCGAAGCCTCTTGCTTGCTGGCTGTAAAAGCAAGCCTTTTCCTCGCATCGTTTCAAATATTTGGCAGCCTTCCAAGCATTTTGCGCGCCCGTTCTCTCAGCATCCCTGTGTCTGGACGACAGAGCGTCTGGCGCTGACCAGAGTGGCGAGCATCGGGGCTCTTGACCCTGAAACGCGCTCATGCATCACGTGTTTGACTGCTACTTGTGAACTTGCCAGAAAGAGCGAGAGCGAGAGATGGTCGATCTGAATGGCAGCTTCCGGCTCAATGCCGTGACATTTCGTGACACGGTATAATCCCAGCAAGCGCCATCCGTGGAGCTGGAATCGCTCCACATGGCGCGTGAGCGAAGTCGTCACAAGAGTTGCGCGTAGCAATGACGCGGGGGCCCGAAATGATCACCTTCAAAACATTCGGCATTTATGATGAGAATGCGATTGCGGCCGGTGACCGAGTTCATGGCGGCATGCGACGAGGACCAGTGGATGAGGATGAGGAGGACGAGGACCATTGGATGAGGATGAGGAGGACGAGGACCAGTGGATGAGGATGAGCTGGTGATTGTGTTAGAACGAGCGTGCGACTTTGCGGACAGTAGGGCGTGCGCGTTAGAGTCTTTTCCATTGGTCCACCCGGCCAACCCTTATACTCCAGCGAACCAAGGAGCAAATTAACGCCATTCATTCGGTTTCATCCGAGGAGACATAAAATTGCAAGCGTAGTGCCCAGCGACATGAAAGGAGCACGGTTTGAGTAGAAACATGTTGACCGTGTCAGTACATCTATGCAACCCTACGCGTAGCTGGCCACGCGCGCACATTCCGGCCCAAATCATCAGCCAACCATCCTCACCCAAGCGCCTCTCCACTCGAGCCACCTCTCCAAATAAGCTCATTCTAGCGTCACGAAGTCTCACTAGGCGGAACGACTGGCATCGGATGACAGCTTATCAATCGCTCGCTGTCAAGACGAGCGTGCTATCCCCGTCAGGGAGTCGGCGTTGTCATCAGGAAATCAGAGGCCCTCCGTTGGGATGCTCTGGATCAACGGTCCCACTCTCAAAAGTAAAGTCCCAGGCGCTCGGCTCTGACAAAGCCGCCTTGTCCGTCCGGTCGGCAAGCGTGCCATTGCGGACTGCTTGGTAAATGTTTGCCCCAAAAGATGTACAGAATCACACGTGAGTTGCGTGACACGGAGAGGTGGGTTGAAGGCGTGGTGGTGTAGGCTAGAACAAGCGTCCCGTAAGGGATCTCTTCAAGCGAACATCTGGCAGACGCACCCTGACGGAATATTGGCGCTGAACAAAAAAAGAGAAGAAAAAAAGAATCCGTCCAAGTAAGAGGCTTGAAATCTGCGCTTGAACCGTGACAAGCTCCTGGCTTCATCAGTGGGACCAACTTTCGTAGTAATTTTATACGCGGTTAAGTTGGGCGTAGGTGATGTGTGCCCCTGTAACTCAAGAACACCCAAGATAACGAACGGACATGTGCCCGAGGTGGGGAATACCTTTTGCACCACGCGACACTCTGAGTGATTATCACCAAAGCTGTGGGTGGACGAGCCGTGTCGGTACGAGACGAGACGAGACGAGACGAGACGATAAAATAACATTATTTGACCCCAAAACGTGCTTCAGGTACGACCGCCTCTGTAGTGGAACAAGGTCCTCTTTGCGGAAACGATGCGGATTTGTCGCTGTGCTTGCACTCGGTGTGCGTGGATTCAATTGTAATTCATATGCCCGACTTGGTAAACGCCTGCCGGCGGGTGGCAGGCTGCTTACCAAAAGTCTCTACACTGGACGCTTCCCCGGTATTCAGCCGGCGCTGTGCCCTGGTCATGTCCACTGGCTTTGCAGCCTCGCGCCGAAGGGGAAGGAGTTTCAACGGGTCCGGTCTCTGGCCATGGCGGATGCTGCGTCAGGCTTCGTCCCGACGCGGCGTGCATGGAGCGTGCGTGGCACGGAAGCGTGCTTATACGCCATGGGATAGCACGAAGCGCGTTTGCTGCGTAGTGAATGCAAACGTTGTCACTGATTCATGGGCATCGCCCACCTCGTAATTGATAGGGCACGGTCTTCACACCGTGCCTTAGTTACATTTGTAATGTGCATTACCGGTTATGTACGTTGCCCTCATCGTATTAAATACAACACCATTGTGAAACATCACGAGATGCTTTGATGTTTTTTTTTGGATATATTGAATGTGGGGTCGTTGAACGACCTCACATTCGAGCATTTCTTGAAAGTGAAGTCGTTCACCCGCACATTCAAGAAATGCTTTGAAACAATGATGTATGGGCAGGGATTTGCTGTCATTGAGCAAGACGAGCCCCTTTCCCCCAACACACTTGGTTTTAACATTATCGTCGTCTGCCGATATTCAACTTCGTTTTTAAAGCACTAACAAGCGAAAAAGAAATGTAAGGCGGGGGATCACGGGATCACCTAGGTACTTGCAACATAAAATACATGGTCTTTATTTTCGTGGATTATGTAGTTAGTGTACCCCCCCCCCCTCTCTCCCGTGGGGCTTTACGGGTGGAACTAGTCCCCGTTTGGTCTGGGCAACACAAATCTGCCCCCTCGCATGACCTAAAAAAGAGTGACCACTGGCGGCGACATGGGAAGCCTCACCAGGTCGTCATACCGTGCACGGGCACAAGCGCAGTTCGAACGCATGACAATAGCCGCATTGCCATAGTCAGTATTCAAGAACCAACCGCAAAAACTCCTTCCTACGGGAGAGCTATGGCGTCAGTTATATGCGACATTACTTCTGCTCGAAAATGTTTGCAGACCATATTTACACGCGACGTTATTTCCGCTGCAACGAGTTGAGTGTAACCTTATGCTTAACAAATCGAAAAGTAATGAAAGGCTTCTGCGAAAAGTAAATTATTGTCAGTCATTTATCTGCTGCGAAAACCTGTACAGGCTTTACTTTTTAGTGAGCTTACTTCCTGGTTTCTTCTTTACTTATCATAACCTCTTTGACCAGTGCGTAAGTGTAACATTTTCATGTAAGTACCCGTAGGTTGGGGTACTGGCTTACCTGTAAACCAGAATCCCGGAGGGGACGAACACACGGGAGCGCTTGACGGGCGAACTCAGGCTGGAGGAGGCTGCTCCATGATGTTGGTACGTTATTGCTGCTGCAGATATCACGATCGACAGTCCCACGACGGCAATCGTTCTACGCGACTTTATAATTGTTTTTGTCGAAAACAAAAGCGCATGGTGCACTGCCGTAGTATTGCAAGTCGTGGGCAAAGCCGGGAAAACCAAATCTACTAAAAAATGCATGAAAAACATGGCGTTGGCGCCGAATGTGCTACACCTTCCCATCACAGACGAGTGGTGGATGGAGTCTCGGACTGAAGACGTACTGCACCGCTTGGCCCGGTGTTCACTGGAAAGCGGCATAGGTTCTTCTGCCATGACTTATGTAAGGCTCTAGCGCTACACGGCAAAACTAATACTTCAAAACGTCCTACATGTCATTGATGTTTTGCTGGACACAGCCTTCGCTCATACGTCAAGTACGTTCAGTTGCCAAATAACGGAGCAGAGTGAAGAAAAATAATAATCCATCGCGTCGGCTCCACGATCTCTAATTGCGGTATTACCCAGGTGGGGTTTCTGCCTGACCTGCAGATTATTCCCTTTGTGTATGTATAGACTGTAAAAGTTTTTACTGTAAAACTCATGACAGTAAGTATAAATTTGGTTGTGAAGGACTTACGTCAGGTGTAAGTCCGCAATAGAAGTGATGCTGCCTTAAAGCAATAACTATTTAATTTGCAGCATAGGTAATGGCGAGCAGAAGTTTTTGAAGCACAGGTTTCGTCTTGTCGTGGTAATGTCGCGTATAAGTCTTTGCAGGAGACGTAATGCCGTCTTTAATATGTTTTTGCAATAATAGTAACGACGGGTGTAATTTTTCTGAATGTAAGGTTTGTCGTGTAGCATTTGTCGCGTGTGCGTCTTTGCGGTAGAAGTAATTTCGCGTATAAGCCATCTCTGTATAGGTTTTGGCAGCATAAGTAATAACTGGTATACATTTTTGCGGTATAGTTTTGTTGCGTAGCGCTAATGTGTACATGTATTCGCAGTAGAGATAATATAACACTCCTGTCAGGAAGGTGTTTTGTTGTGGTCGATCGGTAGGATTTTTTGTTGCGGCACTAATGTCGTGGAACCCCTTCAAAGGATGTGTGATACAACAACACAGCACGAATTTCTCCATTGTGAAATGTCACATGGCGCTATGTGGCGCCATGCCGCGAGGTCGGTGCTTGTAACTAAGGCGGTGTCGGTGCTCGTGAGTTGGAGCTGCTTCGTTCGCCCGGTTCGTAAGGCAGCTGTCGCTTATCCGCCCTCTCGTAGCTGGGATCTGACATCAGGTATTTAAGAATACCCCCTGAGTGAGAGCGTCTGTGGTCTAGGCACGAGTTGTATTCGAGGTTATGTTTGCGGTTGTTGTGCTAAGGTTTGTGAAAGGTTCACGAGTTGGACGGGACAAAATCGGTGTGGAGTAATTGCATTATCTGCAAACACCGCAACTTGTTATGAGCAGGGCCCGTAATTTACCTGCTTTCTGTCTTTCAGCACCACCCGCATGTTGATCGTGTTATTTTGAATGCAGACGGAACTTCTCAACCCGCCAACCCGCTAAGATCAGACCCGCAAGAACCCACAGACTTTTGGCTGGGCAAACAAATCCATTTTTGTTATTTCCTGATTTTTTTAGTTAATTTCTTTTTGCCACGTGTGCTACGGGCACCAAATGATCACTGCAGTCAGCGGCGCTCCCAAAAGCCCAATAAACAACAAATAACTGTATACTTGCTATTTATTGTTTCTTAGTCTTCACTTGCTTTTCCTGCGTTTTGTTATTCTTTTCTTCAAGTATCATCCAAGAATTGGAGTGTGCTGTCAAACAATGCAATTGTGCGGATAGCTGGCAAATGGCCACTGTTTTCGACGCGCCAGAAACACCCATTGAAGAACATAGACGCTGTCGACGCTCCCCGTCGAGGCCGGGCCTCGGCGGCACGACCGTGTGCCACTTGACGTCGCCGGGTCGACTGAGCGCCGCGCTCTGTCCGCTTCAGAGTACAAGCAGAACGACATGCTGATACCGAAGAACACGTCGCTGGTGGTGAAGCGCGTGCCGGCGGCGAACGGCGCTCCCGTCAAGAAGTTCTGGTAGGTGCCCGGTCTCACCCCCAACCCCCTCTCACGGCCACCCCAGGTGCTGCGCTATGTGAGGTGGCCGCTGGCGCTGCGTGGTGACGCAGTCGATGCGCCCAAACGTCCCGTGGTCATCAGCGGTAGCGTCGCTTCCTGGTGACACCTTGATCTTGATCAACCGTTTTTTCCTCTGACGGCCGTGCTGAAATAACTTGTTGCCTTGGCTCGTGGTATCCGTTGGGACTACTTTCTCCTGACACGTGTTGCGCCGTGGCTGAATTAGTGACGTCAGTCGGAGTCCAGGAATGTCGTGCGCTGTGTAGCACGCCTCCAAAACGGAGCGGGTAGCTGCCAGTAAAGTATGGTTGCGTCAGTTGATATAGCGTGGCACATGCTCACAGTTAATGGTCAGGACTTATCACGTTTGACGTAGTTGAACAGCGCAGCGCCGCATGCAAAAGACTGGTGAGCGTGACACTGAAGGAGAGATGAGGGGACACAAACATATCAGGCAATTCGTTTCCGGGTTGAGAACGAATGATGCCTGTAGACCGTTGTATCACAGGCCGCGACCTGAAGGCCGCAATGTCAATATCAGCTTGAATATTTTGTCGGCATTTTGGAACTCACGAAAGCCGCTCAGGGATGGTGCCACAGGTCACGGTAACGTGCGAGCCTGCTTTTAAACGACTACGAACGTACATCACGGGATTAAACCTCATGCTACATCTAAGAACATTTTAGATTGCGTAGTGCTGAACATGCACACAAATATCCCAGTGTGCCACCTATGAAGGAAGCCACTCCGCGCGCAGACCAGTGGTGACAGCACCAGAGAGCGGTCAATGGAGGCACACGAAACTGTCAGACTGAAAAAGTTTGTGTTCTGGTGGTTGACAGACGGAGAAGGTTTGCGTCGTGAGTGGTTGAGTTCGTCTTAATCGGCGCGAAATGACCATTGTAATGGACACGCGCTCTGACCCAGTAAACAAAGCAGCCCCAGTAAACAACACCAGTTGAGTTCGTTGACTGCCATCCTGCATTAATGCTAGCGTACCGCGCCATGGACTTGTGCGGTCTATAACGTAGCGTCAGATAGCACCGGCTTATCGTATGCCGATAGAGAGTCGTGCAGGGCCGCTCCTCACTCGTGTCGGTCGCTTTAAGTCGTGGGTTAGGGTTTGAACACGGCATTGATCGGCGCCGTTCCAGCCTCTGCGGCTACTAGCTGTGTATTTAATTGGGCAGAAGGCGATTAGCGACGGAAGATGTTGGGCTATTACCGCTTTCAGATGTTTGTGACTAGTACGATTATGGCGTACCTGGTGTGGCTACGACGGATTTGTTGCATGCTCGCCAGCTGAATTGCAGAGTTGGTGTGAATCGCTGTCCATCGGTCGTTTTTGACACTGAATCAAGCTGGTCACTCGTCTTGCACAATGCCCACATGTGAATTAGTTGCGGTCCGAAAAAATGAGCTGCCCAGTTATGATGTTAGTGATCGAGACCAGGATTCTGCTGGCGTCTGAGGCCGAACTCGATCTTCCCGACGTCACTAGCCGCTCGTTGCCCGCCTGGGAACGTGACTGCAGGCAGCGGGCCGGTCTGGCGCGAAACCCACACTGGCGGCGCGCCGCTGATCTGGGTGCTGCCGTTTCAGGGATCCGAACGCCCCCAAGATGGCCACCATCACGCCGTCGTTCGCCGCTTCCGTGCTGGTGAGTGCAGTACTGGCCAGGGGGCTCGCCGTCACCGGCTCACCGAACGTTTCACATAATGACTGTGTGAACGTGGATCGCTTTGATGCGCTATATTTATGCGTGCGCGATGCGCCAGTTGATATTGCCGCTTCGTAAAGACCCGCCTCCGCCGCCCGAAGCATTGCCAGTTATGCATTGAACGGGTGCGGCTTCGCCGTCGATAACTGGTTGGTGTAAAGAGCTCGGCCCCTGCGCTCCCGCCGCTTGAGCCGGCGGCGGCTGCTGTGAGTGGTTCGGTCCCTGCACTGCCGCCAGTAAAGCCGGCCGCGGCTGTTGATGACCCTTGTCAGCGTTCCTTAATGCCGCAACCCCGTGACAAAGCGGCTGCGGCCGTTGTTCCGCGAAGCCTGGCTACGCCGGTCTCCAGTTGCGGGTCTTCTGCGTTGTGGAGCTCTCTGAACGGACCGGTGATGTCGGGCCGCATGCTATTGATGTGCACTGAATCGACTGACGCGAGTCGCTCTGTCGCAGCCGCCGCCGGTGGCGTCAGTGGAAGCCGTCTCCGGATCGTCCGTCTTCGCTGGGGTGAGCACCGCACGGTCCTGGGCTGCCAGCGCGGGCGCCGGGGGCTCACCTGTGGTGACGGTCCGCCGCTGTGACGGGCAGGGCCGGTCGCTCCGCGATGACCGGTTGGCGCTACGTGGGTGGGTTCGTGAGCCGTGTGTCACGCCGCACTGAGAGGGTGCGTGATGGGACGCGGAAACGGCGCGTGAGTGGCCGGTGAGCCGTGCCAGTGGCAGTCCAGTTCCAGAGGCTGCCGGAAGGTGGGTGATGGAGAGGTGGCTAGGCGGCGACCGGTGACAAACCTGACGTCCCCCCGTCGTCGTCCGCAGAGCGACCTGACCAAGATCGGCGGCTCGGAGGAGGACAAGATCAAGCACATGATGTCGCAGTCGACCAGCCAGTACGACCCGTCCCGGTGAGTGAGCCGGGGCGGGGGCAGGGGCGGGGTCAGGGCTGGCCCGCCGGCCGGGCAGGGGCGCGAGACGCAGACCAGTGCCGAAGCTTCGGAGCTTGAGCGGCGGAGTGTGGAGTGAGGCCGGCGCTGGCAGTGTGGAGCGGGGCCCGGCGGAGCAGCAGAGGCGGTCAGCTGTCCGGGGCGCGGCGCGGCGGCCCGTGCCGGCTGCCGGTGACCGCTCGTCCCTGTCGGCAGGTACGTCAAGTACAAGGGCCAGCACTTGCTGACGCCGGCGCCCAGCAGCCACAAGTGCTACCGCTGCTTCAACTTCGGCCACTATGCCCAGAACTGCCCGCTGGCCGCCGTGAGTGAGCCGACGCGGCCGTGCGCCGCGGCGGGGTTGGACTCTGTGTGTGCTTTGGCATGCGTTGGAGCTGGCGGGGAGGGGGAAGCGTACACATTCGATCGGTTTCTTCTGAGTCAGTGCGTTGCATACACTTGTAGCTATAGTCCCGCGTAAAGGCTTCTCATTTGTTATAGATAGCATCTGATTCGTTCACACCGTGCGCACAATTCTCAACATCTCGACATTCCAAGTACCCCTTGCGCGCTCGGAATGGAACGGATGGTTTCAATTGGCGCTGTCGCTGCCCGCGTCGTAGCCTTTGGCAGTCTGGATAGGGTCGCCGGGGCCGCGGCCCTAAGCGTTCACCGAACCCGCGAACGTTGACGGTAGTTCAGAGTGGGCGCGCCAGGTGCGCTGCTGTTTTCACAGGTCACAAAGCCAGTGAGACACACGCGTGCACCGTGACGTGCGCGGCGAGGGATCGATAGCGCTTGTCGGCCGGGCGCTGTGCGTGCCTCCCGCGCCGGGCGATGCGGCGAGCGCCGCCGCCGGCCCTGCCGTCCGTGCTGACCCGCGCCCCGCCCCGCGCCCGCCAGGCGGAGGTGAAGAAGGCGACCGGCATCCCTCGCAGCTTCATGGTGCGCGTGGACGACCCCAAGGTGCCGGGCGCCATGATCGCGCCCGACGGCAGCCTGGCCGTCCACCGGGTGGACTAGTGAGTGAGCGTGCCCATGCGGGCCGAGTGGGCCTGGGGCGATGTGGTCGGCCCCCTGGCCGTCACGCGGTCGCGTGGATGCCGCAACGCGCCGCGCGAGTGAAGCGAATCTGGCGTCAGATGCGCTCGAAAGTGCTTTGCATGTTAGTCGCCTAGTTTACCTAGACTCGATTGGCCCTCCGCCGCGATTTTCTGCGCAGAGTTTCCAGATCTAGACCCAGATCGAATGTCGCACTAGCCGTCGCGTACCGATGCCGGTGTCATATTTTGTGGAGCGTGATGGCCGGTTGGTTAGCGCGTCGGGCTCCCACCTGGGGGACACGCGTTCGAATCCTGGTTGCGCAATGGCCCCGCTGATGTGACCAGTGCATTCGCTGGCGTTCCAGAAATGTTGCATATTAATGTTAAACGTTACGGCGCGCGTCACGTTTCCATTTAATAAAAAGCAAGGACGTGTTGTCTGGCGGCGGGTGTGTGATGGTAGTGGTGGTGGTGACGGTGTGCGCGTGGCGCCGCGTCTGACCGTGGCCGCGCGCCGCCGCCAGCTCGACCTACAACGACAAGCAGCAGGGGCGGATGGACACGCCGCCGCCGAGCACGCGGCCACCGGTGCCGGACGACCTGCGCTGCACGCTGTGCCGCGACCTGATCCGCGAGGCCGTCACCTCGCCCTGCTGCGGCGAGAACTTCTGCGACGAGTGTGAGTGGGCTGCGCACGCGCGCACGTGCGCCGCTGTGTGGCGGGACGGAGAGGGCGTCTCCGGGGAGGCGGCAGTGATTGTTGCCGGGCGGCAGGCGGCCGGTGGTGGCCTTCAGTGAGGCGATGACACGCGCTGCAAGAATTAGAGTTGTCGGAAAGACTGAGAATGTTCTTCAAGGGGGAGGGGAGGCCGATTGATGCGCTCAATGGGCTGGTGAAGTCCGTCACTTGGTGCAAGAAGAGAGAAGGTTTTATGTTCTGATGTGCACTGTCGGATGATGGGTGTCCGCTTTGGCATCGTATTAGTACGGCGCCGGATGTTTGGAAAGTCGTGGCTGTGTGTTGTGATGGGTCGCTGGAGCGAGTTCGTTTGGAATCCCGGACTGGAGGCGGATCTTGCGTGCACGCGGACCCATTGCCAGGGGGGGGGGGGGGGGGAAGGTTATGCGAAGTCGGCAGTGCGATACACAGGCCGACGCAATTTTGAGGGGAACGGCGGCAGTTCAGAGAGTAAAGCTGCATTCGTGCGTGCATGCGCTGAGCGAAGCCGCTGCATTAAGTTGGGCGTCAAATTGTCCCGGAACCTGTGCGGGAGCGGCGCGCCGTCTGACGCCTCGTGTCCTCCGGCTCCGCGCAGGCCTGCGGACGGCGCTGGTCGAATCGGAGAACAGCGAGTGCCCGTCCTGCCACCAGCCGGACGTGTCGCCCGACAACATCATCCCCAACCGCTTCATCCGCAAGCGCGTCGTCAAGTTCGAGTGAGTGCCGCCCGGGCGGGCGCGCGGTCGGCGCCAGCGTCACCGCCCCGCTGGGAAGTGGGGCAAGGCGGGCGGTGGAGGGACGAGCGGATCGCGGACGGGGTTGGGAACTCGCGCCGCCCGGTTTTTGACCGGCGCTGTTGGCTTGAGCTAGCTGGGATGAAGTGGTGAAGGCCTTGTTGTTTCTTGAGCCGGTACGTTGTTGGATGGCATTAGCCTGTTTGGCTCACTTAAGCCTGCATCACATTTTTATCCAGAGTCAGTGTTTTTGATGCACCGGAAGGCGTTGCAAGTATTGCATAAGAGCTCCTCGCACATAGCCATGTAAGATCCCCAAAATGTTTGCACTGTCAGCTTATTACACCTCTTGTTCGTACGTGTGTGCGCGTGTGTGTGTTGGTGTGCATGGGGGAAGGGGAGGGGTAGGTGTTGGAGGGTGGGGGAAGATTGGAGTGCATTGGAGAGATTGTCAGTGAGCCGGGCGGCGTGCGTGACGCCCGTCGCTCTGCCCACAGGAAGGAGACGGACTACTGGGAGCTGGCTGCCCGTGAGCGGGAGGTGGTGGCGGCTGCCGCCCCACCGGCGCCGCCGCCGCCGCCGCCGCCTGTCCGCGCTTCGCCACCGGCGGTGGCCACGCCTCCGCCACCGCCGCCGCCGCCGGTGCAGGAGGCGGCCCCGCCAGCGCCCAGCGTCCCGACGCCGCCTCAGGAGCCGGCACAGGTGAGATGGTCATGTCGACAGCCCGTGGCCAGACTGGTGGGTCGCACCGGCCGCTCCGGCCGCACCGGCCGCACCGGCCACACCGGCCGCACCGGCCGCACCGGCCGCTCCGGCCGCTCCGGCCGCTCCGGCACTGGCCCAGCTGGTGGCACGGGCTCACCGAACGCTTTGGCGGAATGGTGAAAGTAGGAATGCCGAGGCTTACCAGTTTTGCTCTCGGATAGGTGGAAGCTCGGATACTTTTGCGCACTCGCCGTCGATACATGCGGATGAGAAATGACCTGCTGGTGGATAGGGCAGCTAGTGCAAGTTGGCGCCCGGGCGTCTGGCTGACGGTGGCCTCGTCGTCGGCAGGTGTCCCCTGCGCGGTCGCAGCCCCGTTCACCGTCGCCGTCGCCGGCGGCGCGGCCGGGCCGGCCGGAGCGCGAGCGGCCCGCTTCGCCGGCCGGATCGCCGCCGGCGCGCGCGCCCTCGCCGCCGCCCGGCCAGACGGCAGCGCGGCGCGGCCAGCCCCGCGGCGCCCGCTCACCGCCGCCGCCGCCGCCGCCGCCGCCACCGTCGTCGTCGCAGCAACACTCGCCTCCTCGCTCAGGTAACCGTGTCGCCGGCGTCTCCGCGGCACCGTGCGCCGCCCGTCGCCGTCGCCGCCGCCTCCGCCTCTGCCGGCGGGTGCGCGCTGGCAGGGTGAGCCGGCCTGCGTCGACAACGGGGCGAGGCGGCTGGGGCCGGCGGCGTCTTGTCCGTTCCTGTCCACGTGGGCCGTCGCGGCCATCGCGGCGTCCTGACCATTGGCCGTGTCCTGTCCTGTCCTGACCTGACCTGACCTGACCTGACCTGACCTGACTGACCTGACTTGACCTGACCCGTCCCGTCCCGTCCCGTCCCGTCCCGTCCCGTCCCTGTGTCCTGATGGCGCGTCGCCCCGACAGAGGGGTCCGCGGACGGCGCGGCCGACTCGTGCTCGGCGCTTATCTCACCGTCTCGGATCGTGGGCGACAGCGGCGCCTCGTCCCCGTCGCCCTCGCCGTCGGCGGCCGCCTCGCCCGGCGCCGGCGCCGGCCCCGGCCCCGGCCCCGGCCTCGGTCAGTACCCAGCGCGTGAGTAGGCACCGGCACCACGCTGGCAAGCTCGTGCGGAGCCGGATGCAGCTTGGATAAGGTTTATGCCGGAGCCGAACGTCGCATTCGCCACCTTTTGATACGTATAGTGCGTTTAGCAACGGATATTGACGACAATATATGCACGGTGCCAGGGCGGGCTTGTGGATCAGTAGTTAGATCTAGTCAGCCGTTCCAATGAGCTGTGCTCCGCGGGTGGTTACTCTATGGCTGTGTAGCGTAGCTTAGTCACGTTTCAGGGCGCAGACGCCGGTGCCGATCATGATCGTATTGATCGTGTGGGTGTGTTTATATGTGTATTGATCCGCGCTCGTCGCGATGTCTGTGCAATACGAGCTGTGGGTTGGCGCCGTGGGTGGGCGCCGCCCGCCCGGTACAAAGCCAATAAACGCACGACTGTGACGTGTTTGCGGTCGCCGGCCCGGGGAGTGCGCCCGCTCGCCGCCGTCTCGCCGCTGTCGCCGCCGCCGCCGCCGCCTCCGGTGCCGTTTACTTTATCCGCAAGCAACGCCGGGCGTCACTCGAGCTCAGCTGTCACTCGGGCGCAGTTGGTAATCGGTTCGTATCAGGACTCAGCAGACACGGTCGCCGCTCCGAGACTCAGGTGTCACTCGAGCTCAGCCAACACTCATCGCGCAGTCAGTAATCAAAAGACGCAGTCGCCAATTGGAAAGTCTATCACTCGAACTCAGATAAGACAGTATTAATAGCTTTATTCCTCGTAAAAAATAACAGGAGGATGGAAAGATGGATGCCGTGACCTTTTGACAACATGCTATCGAAACTATTATAAGAAGTAAATTCAAAGTTGGTGGCTGAAATCCAGGTGCGTATCGATCGTTTGCCCCTTTTGGAGCTAAATGTCATTTACAGGGCACGGGACCATCCATACAAGAATATAAGAGAATCTATTGTTATAAAAAACTATGACGAGGATTTAAAGTACAGGGCTTATCGCTGCCTATTGGGCGCACGTGGTGCCCCTTGATGTGTGATGCGTGTTTATGCAAAATAGTTAACGTGCGTGAATGATGCCTGACGCGCGATGCGCGGTGCCTGTTTGATTGAAATCGTTTGCATGTATAGTTAATGCATGATGCGCACTGCCCGTTTGCGTGAAATCGGTTGCATGTTTGAATGAAGCGTGATGCGTTATGCTTATTTGCTTGAATGCGCTTGCATGTACACGTATTTTTCGCGCATTCTAATTCTAAGATGTGCACTATTGTAGTAATGGCTAGCAATCGTTCCTTGTTTAATCCCCTTAATGTTGGTGACCCGTAAAAACAGTGGCTCGCTGTTAAAAAAGCAAAATCGAATGGGATGGGCGGGGGGAATTAACTCTATTAGATGTTTCGATGAAGGCATGTTGCCGAAATATCAACACGTTTATCTTTCTATTCGCCCGGTTTTTCTACAATGGAGAATGCTATTGCTATTGTCATACCTATGTGCATAATGTTCCTCACAAATGCACTTCATATCTTACGTAATTTTAATGTCTCGAACTCAGTTTCTAGTGAACTGGTAGTGCGCGCCCTGCGGACGCCGACGCCGCATTACCCGAACCCCAGGCATTACAACCCCATCTGTCCGTCCCGGTGGCTCAGTTGGTTAGAGCGTCTGCATTCCGACCCACCCATCCGTGGCGGGATGGGTTCGAGTCGCTTTAGGGCGCTCGCTATTTGCCCTTGGCAGGTATGGTCGGTGGCAGCGGTCGCGCTAAAGGTCAGTTGACGTCAGAGGGCAGGACGGACCGTACCGAGCATTGCGGCACGTAAAGCTTTCGCAACTAAATTCTGCCGTTGCCTGGAACTGCGCGATCGGATGGTGGGGGTCAGGGCTCACACGACAAGCACTGCTTAGCGTGAGCGCTGATCCCAGAAATCCATCCATTCAAAGGATTCGGACCAAATTTATTTTAAAAAAATTACTCAAGTGACACCTAGTTACGACTTGACTTTCGTAAGCCGTAACTCACCTGACACGTTGGCACCATTTGACTCCTGTAAGACGCAGCTGACCTGACACCTGGTCACCACTTGACTCCCTTAAGCCACAACTCACCTGACACCCCACCACTTGTCCCCCGTGAGCCGCAAGCCGCCTGACACCCAATCACCACTTGACTCCCGTAAGCCGCAGCTCACCTGACACCTAGTTATCACTTGACTCCCGTACGCCGCAACTCACCTGACACCTGGTCACCACACCTGGTTCCCGTAAGCCGGAACTCCCCTGGCACTTTGTCACCACTGAAGTAAACAGTTCTTCTGGTTACCACTAAACTGGCGTTTGGCCGCCGCTGAACTGACGTCCGGTCGGGGTCGGAGTGAGGCCGTTGCGACGCGCTGACCGACTGCGCACGGGTGATGTCTTTGGTATGTATATATTTGGTATGCCTGGTGGCACAGGTGGTTTGAAAGCAAGAGCTGACAGGTTTAAGATGGTGAATAGAGTTGCGCGGGAAACAAATGCGTCTTTTTCCCGTAGTGCTTATTAGGTGTACTTTCGACGCCAAAACACGGTCCTGTCGTGCCGTCGAGATAGGGGATAGATAGCACGCATGGTTTGGGTGAGGTTGAAACCAGGCGGTCCATGTTAGGAGAACATGATGTAGGGAACAGCTGATTGAATGCGTGCGAAATTCTTTGGGAAGCCCGGTGAGCAAGCTGCAACAAAGTTGGTCACATCAGGCGCTGTCACGATTCGCAGACTTCAGTGAGATTACTCCCGACGTGATATTTACTTTATTGAAGGGTTCACCTTGGATGGTAAGAAGAGAACGAGACTAGTCAGATCCATCACACCGGAAATGCTTCTAGCGCTTAGTTTCACCACAACAAGATGCGTGGAACAAACCTTGTGGAGCGAAAAATTCAAACTCCTCCCGTCGTACGGCTCGTGGAGTCGCACTGCAACGAATCGTTCTGAAGCGCGCGGCTACCGCGGCCGCCGCGCGAGGCTGCTGTCGCGTAATCATGGCCCCTCTCGCCTTTTATGTGTCGCCGTCGCTGGTGATGCGGTCTTAAGACTCTTCAAGCTGGAAGCCGTCAAGCGCATAGCTAGGGGTTTTTGATCCTCGAAGAGGGAATGGTTTTCGAAAGGACGTATTCCGAACGTCGTCATAGGGAGCACAATGAAGGGCCTGGTTGAAAAGGGTTCTGATTAAGACCAAAATGTAGCAGATTTCACTCCCTAAATGAGCGTTTATAAGCTTCCTTTTGTAAACGTCCCTTTGTTTTGGCGTAATAAAGGTGGTAATCAGCTAAAGTGCTGATATTGTAGAGATAAAATCGAGAACGAGCAGGTACCTTTCTCCTTGCAGCTGCGGCAGGCGTCTGGACTCAGTCCAGGTGTTCAAAGTCCATTCAGGGCGCGACTGATGTTTTGAACGCCGAACTTCCGCCTGGACTCGCCGTTTTTGTCATAAAGTAAATGGAGTGGGCGGTGGCCGGTCCTTGGAGCACAGGGGTGGTGGGCGGGGGAAGCATCCGTAAACACAAATAGCAGCATCATCAGCATTGGGCGCTTTCCGTCTTCCTGGGGATGGGGTAGCGGGGCGAGCGGTTTGCGCTCGCGCCTAAGGTTGGAAATAGCATTGAAGTTAAGGCGGTATGTGATCAGAAGCGCTGGTATGTGATCAAATTCGCCTGAATACTTGCGTGGCCGGGGGCAGTTGCCATGGCAATTCCCTTGCGCCAGTCGTTCAGTCTTGCGATAATTTTAATCGGATGCGCTTGTTCTGAGGCGGACCGATGCTGGAGTCGGTTGAGTCGACTGGCCGCGCGCGGGGGCGATAACGACTCCGTGTCCAGCTAGGCGTTCAAGCGGTGGAGTCGGCTGCACGCCCGACGCCGGCTTTTTAAGAAAATAAGACGTGTATATATATATATATATATATATATATATATATAAATGCTGGCATACATGATATGACTCGTTACTTAGCATGAGTTAAAGAGCTGGACGCCAGTAACTAATCGACTCAAACCCATAATTGCCGTCAGCAGGAATGGTTGGTAATTCAGAACGTAGTGTTATTGGACTGTGAGTACCTACCTCTGCTATGCAATCGCTGGTCCAGCCGCGCGCCTGACCTATGTGTGCTCCCCAGCACGTTATCAACGCGCAATACGTCCGTTTATCACAACACACTGTTGATGGCGAACGGTTCGGAAATCAGACTAGTGGACCAGGAAAGCATTGGAAATGCTTACTAGAAGAAACATTTGCCTAGTTTTTAGACAGAATTACAGGAGTGCTTATGTTTA